CCCAACATTCAGGAGACAGACACAGGTAAATCTCTAATTCAAGGCCAGCCTTGACTACATAGCAAGTTCCAGACCAGCCATGGTTACAGGGAGACACAGTAAAATAAACGACAGACATGCTATTTAAATTAGATGGGGATGGGAGCCTAGAATCCCACAGCCAAGCCAGAGATCAGGCTCTAGTCCTGGATTAACCCTTCTCAGACTAATTAGAATAATTCACACACAGAGGATCCAGGTTAGCAGCCAGCTCTGTAGACCCCCAAACATTACCTGCTCATGTCATCCAAGATTCACTAGCCTCCATCCCTTGAATTGGAATCTCAGCAGGTCTGGGTAGGTCTGGAAGCTTCTAGAAGGCTCTGTGCTATTACCAGATCCCATTGAAATCTTGTGGGAGGGACAATCCTTCAACCTGCTGGGCCCAAGCAGAACCAAGTGTGCGTGTTTGTGTGTGTGTGTGTGTGTGTGTGTGTGTGTGTGTGTGTGTGTGTGTGTTGGGGGGGGTGTTTGCAGCAGCAGGGGACCGCACAAATAAATACAGAAAATCCTTTCTGTGGGCTGCTATTGTGCTTGGGACAATGGCAGACTGTGGAGAGCGTTTTTTTTTTTTTTTTTTTTTTTTTTTTGTTTTTTTTGTTGTTTTTTTGTTTTCCAGTTGAGAGTAGAAAGGAAAATAAATGTGGTCACAGGATACTGTCCTCTGTCCTTGACTAAGTCTGGTGTACCCCGAGTTCTGCAGGAGGATGGGGGTGGGTTCTCAGAGTCTGGGCCTCAGCTGGGGAGAGAGGTATTAGGGCGTGGTTCTCCGCTTGGGCCCCTGCAGTTGTGGCCACTGCTCCCCAGCCACACTGGCCTCCCCCAAAGTTGCTGGCCCGAGTCTCCACCCTTCCTTGTTGCTCCCCAGTCCACAATGGACCATATCCAGCCAGCAGGGCTGGTGGCCACACCCAGGCGAGGCTGTCTGACTCTGGGAGGGGTTTACGCCCACTGAGGTCACCTAGCATTGCCTGCACGGGCACAGGTTTTGTTTCCGGTCACCTTCTGAAGCTTAGTTAGCCCCTTAGGACCTACCAATACCAGTAGCTCCTCAAATGGGTGTGGAACTTTGTGTGCAGGTGACTTAGCTGCTGTGATCTCACGCGTGCAGAAAGAGCTGTCGGGTCTGGTGGCCTTCTTGAGCTAAGGAAACACTGGCCACACAGTTGTAAAGCCCTTCCATAAATCACCACAGTCACCAGTGTTTCATAGCTTTCCTCAAGTGGGAAGCTCGTCCAGGGGCCTCCTGTTCGCACTGTCTGCTGCCGGCTGGACATCCCTTGGGATGTCTGCACAGAGGTTTCACACTCGAGGGGCGGGCCTTGGGGCGGGCCTTCAGGCCTAGGTCCCCCGGCAACCACCCAGTGATATTGATGAGACACAATCTTTCTGGGCCTGTTTCCTTCTCTAAAAGGGAATCGGTGTGAGAATCAGCCCAAGAGCACAGAATAAGCTCAGGTCAGGGCTGGGGTGGGCACCGGGTCTTTCCTATGCAGTCAGTCTGCTAACCAATCCCGTGGCCCGGGTCTCATGCCGGGTCTTGCCCAGCTTTGAGGGAGGCATTGTTAATTATTATTCATCCTTTATAGAAAGGGAAACGAAGACGTTTAACACATCTTCATTAGTTATGCAGCCAATAATTAGTGGAGCCAGAGCTCAAACCCAAGCTTTGGGCGCCCCGCCCCGCCCCGCCCAGCCCAACTACGCGGGTTCTTGTGAATCACCTAAACCACTGTGCTACAAAGGCTGCTGTTCTCCAAGTCTAAGAGGTGAGGTATGCTTTAACGACCGGGTCTTCATATCCAGACGGGGTGGGGGTGGGGGTGCGGATCGGGGTGGGGAGTGGGGGTGTGGTGGGAGGTGGAGGTGGGGGGTGGGTGGGGGTGGGGGTGGGGGTGAAGGTGAGTGGGGGTGGGGGTGGAGTTTACAAGAGAAATGAAAATCCCCGAATGATCATTTATTTGTAAAAGGACTAGATTTTACCCACTGTGGACAGGACCATCATCCCAGCATGCTCACACAGCTGAGTGTGGAGCAGGTAACGTGTAGAGGGAGAGGCAGGGAGCTCGTGGGACCATCCATCCCTGGAGCATGTAGCCACTCCTACCAAGTGTGTTTAGTGTTGCTCTAACCGCAGGTAGGGGAGAAACTAGAGTATGTGGGTGGGAGGGACTGGGGAGGGGTTGGGGAGGGGTGTGGGGAGGGGCTGGGGAGGGGTGTGGGGAGGTGTGTGGGGAGGGGCTGGGGAGGGGTTGGGGAGGGGTTGGGGAGGGGTTGGAGAGGGGTGTGGGGAGGGGCTGGGGAGGGGGTTGGGGAGGGGGTTGGGGAGGGGTTGGAGAGGGGTGTGGGGAGGGGCTGGGGAGGGGCTTGGGAGGGACTGGGGAGGGGTTAGGGAGGGGTTGGGGAGGTGTGTGGGGAGGGGCTGGGGAGGGACTGGGGAGGGGTTAGGGAGGGGTTGGGGAGGTGTGTGGGGAGGGGCTGGGGAGGGGTTGGGGAGGGACTGGGGAGGGGTTGGGAAGGGGTTAGGGAGGTGTGTGGGGAGGGGTTGGGGAGGGGCTGGGGAGGGGTTGGGAAGGGGTTGGGGAGGGGTTGGGGAGAGGTTAGGGAGGGGTTGGGGAGGGACTGGGGAGGGGTTGGGAAGGGGTTGGGGAGGGGTGTGGGGAGGGGCTGGGGAGGGGTTGGGGAGGGGTTAGGGAGGTGTGTGGGAAGGGGTTGGGGAGGTGTGTGGGAAGGGGTTGGGGAGGGGTGTGGGGAGGGGCTGGGGAGGGACTGGGGAGGGGTTGGGGAGGAGGATCCAGTCATGCGTCCACGGGGAGCATCATTCACGCTGTGTGCAGGCCATTTCAGGGTCACCCATGATCCTTCCCATAACCCTACCCATTGCTCTACACGCCAGATAAACTCACCGGCTTCCCAGAGAGAATCCGGCGGACTCAAACCTCAGTGTGCCACAGGTACCTGAGAAGGAAGGGTAGACTTTGTTCACACCTCCCCTCGGAAGAGATTTTAGCAACATCGGCACTCACCCGAGACCCTCGCCTCTTCACACTTTATTCTTGTGAGCCTGAGGACTCTTATCTCACCACCTCCTTCCCTTCACACAGTTCTTTAAACTCACCTAGGAGACGATGGGGCCTGGGGAGCTTCTAAATGGCCAATTACTCCTTGTAAACACCACGGGGGGTTCCGGAGCAGTTAATGTGCTGGGCTCCGCTCACATGCTAACGTGGCTTTTGGATGTGGCTTTGCCACCTCTGTCCATTCTGCAGACGAGCAAATTGGGCTCTGGGGGAGCCCGAATAACTGAGTATAAAGCAACTTTCTGAAATGTCAATCACAGCTGTCTTGTGGTTGTAGTGATGGGACTTGTGACCCATAATGAATGGATCTGGCCCTGAGATACTGTGAGAGACACAGTCCCTGCCCTAAGGTCTATTCTCAGCGTGCCAGGAACTGTTTAGGTAGGTCAGGCTGGCCAAAGACAGGCTCGTGTCAAGGATGTTAAAGTGGCCTTGTCTTTCATAAGACCAAAAGAGCCCACAGGAAATTCACAGAGATACCGTCAGGAATGAAGGGCAAAGTGACGTCACAGAGTTGACAGTGGACATGACATCCTTTCCCTGGCAGAAGAGTCTCTCCATTGGCCGCCACCTTGAAGAGCTGGACATTGTACAAGGGAAACATCTTTGGCAAAGCTGCTCTATCGGGAACAAACTTGGCATGTCTGAAAAGAGGAAAAGGTAGAAGCCAAAGGCAGGGTATGCAGGGAGGGAGGTGGCCTTGCCTCGATCACCGCCCACTATACATCTTTCTGTGTGAAGTGAACTTTGCTGTGGGGGTTGTTCATCAGCCAAGCCCAGTGCCACAAGGAAGTCATGACCAGAACTGCAGGCGCCCCCTGGTGGTGAAGCTAGGGACAGGCACACTGGTACCCGTGGAAAGCCAAGCTGGGTGGACCTTAAGACTGTTCTCTGGGTGCAGCAAACCCACATGCAGTCTGCCTTGGTGAACAGCCTGTCTGTGGCTCCCAGGGGCAGGAGATTTTCCTCACACAAAGGTTGGTAACAAAGTGGGGGACTGGAAGACGCTTCCCTGTGTCCTAGGTAACTGCAATGGCCCATGCTCACTGTGGCTCAAAAAGTCTCAAGTCTTCAGTTTTTGTCACTTCTGAGTCACAAACAGATCAAGCATCCATTCTAGCTGCAGGATAAGGTAGGATTATTACATGAGTTTTGTGGGTCCAGTGCCACTAAGTTCCCATTGTGGTGTTCAAAGATAATGGTGCAATATGATGTGGCCTTGTTGGAGGAAGTGTGTCACTGTGGGGGTGGGCTTTGAGGTCTCCTATGCTAGAACTACTCCCAGTGACACAGTCCACTTCCTGTTGCCTGCGGGTCCTTCTCAAGCACCGTGTCTGCCTGCGCGCAACCATGCTTCAGCCATGGCAATGGACGGAAGCGCTGAACCTGTCAGCCGGCCCCAATTAAGTGTTTTCCTTTGTAAGGGTTGCCTTGGCCATGGTGTCTCTTCACAGCAACAGAAATCCTAAGACAGCAGTTGACAATTTATCGCTAGTCAACTTTGTCATAGCGGCCTGCATTGCTTGACAAACTTCTGGAAAACGCCTGTGCTATTTGATCCATGTCCTGTCACCAGTGAATATGATGGGAAGAGATACAAGGCAGGCCGGAGAGATGGCTCTGTGTTTAGGAGCGTGCACTGCTCTCACAGAGTTCAGTCCCTAGAACCCACTTCAGGCAGCTCACAACTGCCCTTAACTCTGGCTCCAAGGGACCTAACACTGCCTACACCTCTCTACATGCTTGCACGCGTGCACACATATACAGAGAAAACCAACCTGCTCTGTCTTTGCCTTCTCTCTGTGTTCTGGTTCTTTTGATACTTTTGAAAACAGGGTGAACCTTCAAACAGACCAATGGGGGTAGGAAACAAAACGGTGCTGGAGGCGCTCAAGGAGGGAGCACATAGCTTTATTCACAGAGTTGGGTACAGTGAGAGAGAGAGGCGTGTGCTGCCTGCATCAGGAATGCTGCAGGCTGGGAGAGCACGGCTCAGTGACGGGGCGAGCTCTCCTCTGCACCCGAGGGCCAGTGCTCAGGCGCCACCGGCACACGCCAGCTCGACTCCACAGGAAACACAGCACAGCTTCTCAAGAACTTATTCTGAACATTTGCTTTCGTTTCACCGACAAGGGGAGGGGAGAGAGGAAGAGCGGGCAGGCCTTTCATTAGGTCAAAGTAATCGCGTTGACCAAATTAGAGGAGATTCGATGCGGGGTCTTTGGCATCTCGAGGAGACCTCCACATTTACCACCAGACACATCTGTACAGAGAACCCCCCCACCCCAACCCGGCAAAACATCAATTCTGTGGACAACTGTCTCCTCTTCCTTAGGTAAAATGTTTGCATGTATAATCATAACCTTTCTGAACGTCAATGCATACAGGCTTGTCTTTTAGTTTACTCATGGAAAGCGGTTCATGGGACTGTCCGTCTTGGAAGAGACACAGAAAAGCATTTTATTTCGTGATAACTGCCATTCAATTGCATTAAAGCTTCTGGGAGAAAGAGCTTGGCTTGCTCACGGCTTGGAGAGCTTCAGTTGAACACTTGTCCCCGTCTCTGCCGCCACATTAAACACACAAGGAAAGCAATGTAATGTCTATTTGACACCATCTCCCTCTGCTCCGTGGGGGAGAAAATAGGAACCGCAATCTTGTGGATGCTGAAGGCTTGCTCATTCCCATTCCAGTAGTGGAGGGTGTTCCTTCGCTGTACATTGCCACTGGGAGACAAAATCCAAAGCACTGATCACCTTTATTTTTCCTGGATGGAAAGTTCTCCAAAGGGGGCACAAAGGAGTGAATTTGAAGCACAGATTAGACAGCTACCAGAAGTATTTTCAGAGCAGGGTTCTTGAAGCGCACAGCCTGGAGCCATGCCAGTTTCTGCGATGTTACCTGGAATTGCCACTCTAAGTTTGCTTGAGATTTTTTTTTTTTCCTTTTAAACAAAGACTCAAAAGAGGTTAATGTGAATTCTGTTAAACTTGCAAAAGCAGATGCATTCGACAGCATCATTGGTGACGCTATCTCTAGAAAAAGTTGTTTGCTTCAAAGTAAATAAATTCTGTTTCAGAAACATCACCAGCTGAACCTCTCTGCGCTGCGGGGGACTGAGTGTAGACAGAGATGGAGAAGCTAGGGCTGTGGCTCTGGAGAGAGAGAAAGGCTCAGGCTGGCAGCAACAGAGTGAGGACTTGGGGAGAACAGAAGAACAGAGGACAGAACAGATAGAAAACTACCCCCCCCTTTTTAATTTTTTTTTTTTATTTTTTGCACCTTAGAACCCACTAACTGCACTTTCCCCTTGGGGTTTCAGAGAATAGGCAGTCCACGTTTAATTGTTGAAGGAGTCGTATTAAAAATATTTTATAACAAACTCCACACGAGTATGAAAATGCAGAGCTGGCTGTTTTCAAAGGCTTCTCGTATCGCTAGTAATTCTCATGTCGCTACTAAGTTGCACAGGAAGACGATACGAGAGTGTGGACTCTTGGGAAATTCTTGAAGGAAGCGCTGAGGCTACCACGTGGCCACAGAAGCCCTCCCAGGCCAAGCAATCTGTACACACTTCAAGCCACAAGTAAGTCAAATGCTAAGAAGTATAGCCCTTGATATACACACCAAGTCTGCCATACACAGACTTCTCCCCCAAGTGAAGAAGCTGCTTTGATTTTTAGCAACGGGAATTTTCCTGTGTTCAGCAGGGTGGGGTGAAGTGAAAAGCACATACCTCCTGTGTTGTGGTCTGGGCATGCCAAGGGAATCATGTGGATCCCTGTAATATCACAGGCAGGGCACCACAGCCCAAACCTTAGGTCTGGCAGTTAGAACCGGGCCACCCTCCCTGTATTTTTCTGACTGGAATCTGCAGGGGAACGGAGTGACACCCTGGCATGATCCTTTCCCAGGGCGGTCAGGACTGAGTCCCAATGTTACCATTGCCTCCTAGGCAGGTCCTCTAACTCACTCAAAGTTCTCTGTAACATAAAGAGGGGGGCCTGACCCTGTCCCCTACCCCTTGCAGCTGAATCTTCCTATGTCAAGACAGAGCTGCATTAACTTTGTGCAGAGCAGGTACAGGATCTTAACAACTGCTTATACTATACCTCTGTCTCCTGAATGCTGCGGTTTTTCTCACCCGTGTGATTGTGAGTAATAACACAATCAGTGCCAAGCATGGCGGGTCACTTATTATCTCCATACTGGATAAACAAGGTCGTCCCCAAGCCACCTCTGCTCGCCCTGGCAGGGAAACACCCAGGGCACCCTACTCTCCACCCTGCATGCTGCCAGGGTCATGAGAGACAGGTGACACAAGCCGTGTGCTGGACAGGACAACGGAAATGTGGGGAGAAGTGTGGAACCTGCAGGGGACTACAAGGCTTGCAGCCTGCCTTCCAACCAGGAGCCGGACCCATGGACTCGGGCCGCCCAGCACAGGCAGCGTGGCTCTCTTGCTGATTGTGTTAACAGGTCTGGCTTGTGAGAGTAGTTCTCATACGTAATTGCACTGGCAGAGTGGAGCAGGGTAACCCAAAGAAACAGACAAGGCACAGGTCTGCAGCATGGGCTACGAACCTATGTGGCTCGCTCTTTGCTGCTGGTGTTGGCAGACAGCCAGACACTCTAATCCTTGAAGGAGTTTCTGCACTTCCTGCTCAGCGGTGATTGATAAAGGATTCAAGAGCTTTCCCCCCCTTGGCTTTAACTCAGAGCTTAAATCCCCAAGACGAGCCCCACAGCAGAAGAATCAAGGGGACCTCATCTCTTTCCTTTGGATCTGGAGACATTCGTCATAATCCAACATCCTTGTGATGTGGCCTTGTTCACACATTTTAATAAGAACCGGGTTCCCATTCGCACTGAGAGTTGCAGGGTATAGAAGGAGCCTAGTGAGATAGATGATCTGGTCCCTAAGCTACGCTGGCCTCGCTTCTGTGCTCTGTAGTCTGAACCCAGTATACTCACTACAGCGCACGGGATGTGCTGGTCTCTAAGCATCCTCCCGAGTCTCACTCTTGATCTGGGTCACATGCTCTTGTGCCAAGGCCCCGTCAATGCCACAGCTCAGCGTGATAGACATTCAAGCAGAGGTCACAAAGCACACACAGACTCACAAAACTTCCCTGGGCAAGTCCCACACAGGCATGGACACAAGTGTGCGTGTCCGTTGTGCCAGGGCATAACCCAGGCCACATGAAATCTGTCTGAAGCAATCTACCTCAGAGTTGCAGAGATCTAAAGGAGAAAAGCCTGTCTCCCCTTAGTCTATGTCCTTGAGACACAACACTAGCATCATGGGCTTGACCTGACCCCAAAAGATACCACATAGACAGCAGGGGACACCCGGGGAAGAACTTGAGATGGTGCAGGGTACACATTTTCCTTCTCTAAGAGACACAACTGATGGGCAACAACCACCCACCAGCAACTGGACCGATCCGGACACTCATTCTGCCTTCCCTTTCTTTGCAAAGGTGAGCGTACCAGCTCCTGCCAGTTTATAGGAGAAGGGACTGAGCACATTGTCAGAGGCAGAAAAAAAGTTCAGGGAGAGGTGGGGAGCATCCTTCATTACTTTTTCCTTTTCCTTAATTTTGGCCAATCAGGTCCAGGCACACCGGAAGGGGACAGGAGCTTATTCAAATCATTTCTGCCGGTACTCAGCCTCGAGCTCAGAACTATCTGGTTCCCCGAGAGAGTTCCATTCCCCCAGAGCCCCGGCAGAGCACAGGGGGGCTGCCAAGGAAAGGCTAAATTGTTGCTACCACATCAGGGATGGCCTCTCCTCCTCAGCCACAGTGCTACATAAATAAGTAGGTCCATACTTCAGGACTCCGCCATCCCTTCCCGTGTGACTTCCTAAGGGCACTTCTGGCTCTCACAGGTATAGGCAGCACTAAGTTAGTTAAAGGGGAAAATAAAAAGGAGAAAGAAGCCCCCGATGAGGACGTAGTCACGTGAAGAGGTCACGTGTGGACATTACCGCTGAGTTTGGGAACACACAAATTTCTACTGTTGGGCAAGTGTTACTGTTGCTTGGCCTGGGATGCGGCTCATGGGTGCTGAGATCAGACTTTCCCTTGGTGTTGCTTCTGGGAGATGGTAGCGAATAAATTCTCTGATGGATGATTCTAGACCTTAATACAACGTCCTAGGCACCACCGCCAATGAAAGTCCTTTTCCTGACTGTCGTTTCTTCAGGGGACTCAGAAGAGTTTAGCCTTTTTCTTCATGTCGTTGCGTCTCCAAAGAGGTAACTTGTCAAATTCCTGTATAGACATCCCAAAGATTTCCCAAAATACTTCTGGGGCTAAGTGGCGCTGGAAAGAAAGAAACAAGAAGGCGTTAGTCCTAATGGCCACAGCAACGGCTCTGAGATTTGTCCTCTGGCTTACGAATGTAGCCAGCCTTCCATAGTTGTGGCTTCTGCATCCCCAGTCCAATCCACTTCAGACCAAAACTGTCCCTTCCCTCGCTGCTTCTGACCTACGCACGTGCCGACAGGGTCCCTGGTCATTCTGCCCTGAACAACACAGGCTGCAACTACAGGCATAGCGTTTAGTCTGTACTCAGCAGCATACATCCCCTAGGGACGACTTAAGGTGTGCGAGATGATGCGTGGAGCCAACACACAGATACATATCACGCTCTGTAAGACTCGGAGTAAGTACTTGCAAACTCTGTCATCTGTTGGGGGAGGGCATCCTGGAATGGATTTCCTGCAGAAGCCGAGAGAGACACCGACGTCATTCTGAAAAGCCAGTCCGGCTGGGAGAGAGGCTACCACCTCACTCTGGCCAGACCTGGTCAGTTATGGTGTTGTCTCCACCAGAGGAAACAGTGGGCAGACGGCTACACTTCAGTGCTGGGCTAGTCAGTGGCATAGGCAGGTGATTTGTGACTCTGGGAGTGGCAGCCATAACTTTAGGTCCTTGGCATATTGAGAAGATAGAGAATAATCGATGATAGTAACAATCACAGGGAAGGAGACTTCCAGGGTGGTCCCTGGGAGAGTCCTATAGCTTCCTGACCGGTAACAGGAGAGAAGGATACTTATCTCCCATTGGTCATATCTCCTGTGGAAGAATCCCATTTTAACATGGACCAGAACTGTCTGAGCTAGCCTGACCTTGTCCACAAAAGCACTCCCTTGTGTTAGGGAATAAACTCGATTCTTCCTGAGATGGGCAGACAAGACAGTTTCTTAATTAAAAATCATTCAGAGCTGAGTGGTGGTGCATGCCTTTAATCCCAGCCTTCAGGAGGCAGGAACCGGTGAATTTCTGTGAGTTCAAGCCCAGCCTGGTTTACAGAGCTAGTTCCAGGACAGCCAGGGCTACACAGAGAAATCCTGTCTTGAAAAATAAAACAATACAAAAGAAAGAAAGAAGGAAGGAAAGGAAGGAAGGAAGGAAGAAAATCATTGGGATGGAAAGGTACAGGTACAGAGTTGGGGGAGATATGGCCCTGGGGATATTTTAGAAGTGATAGAAATGCAACCCCAGTCCTAATCACACAAGCATCTGATTTCCAAAAAAACATGATGAAACCACATTGTGTCTCTAGGGCATTATAAATCTTACCAAGCGCTTTCACACACAGACCTAACTGTGGACTTAGATGTGGGCACATTCACTGCACCATGGGCCTCTCTGAAGCCAGGGAGTGCCTGCCTTGATGCTAACTGGGTGTTCCCTGCCCTCAGGCATCTACGGGAACGATGATAGGATGGCTATGAACTCCCATCCTGTGGTTTTGTTTCCTTGGAGACCCTGGAGGATTTAGTTAGCTCTTCATGCCACCTATAGTGCGACACGTTTTTTGTTTTATTTAGTTTTGTCCCCACAACTTTAGGTTTCCCCTGGAAATATACATTTATATTTCTTTAGAGGTACCCTGGTGTGTGTGTGTGTGTGTGTGTGTGTGTGTGTGTGTGTGTGTGTGTTATGGGTGACGTACAAGAATGTTAAACTGAGGTTAAGTGTTTGTTTTGTTTACCTCCAGCCGGGTTCTATCCACATCTCTTAGGATTTTGTTGCGCCCTCTGTTGGTCACCATGAGCATTTCATATGGAAATATCTGAGGGGGAAAAAAAAAAAAACACCTTGTCTAGAACACCATTATCGATTTAATTCATAAGCACAGCCTAAAGGCCGGCAGACGCACGGCAGACATAGCAATAAGAGTCGGTACAAAGACCCTGCAGTGTTGCGGCACAGGGACAGAATCGTATGCATCCCCATCTTCCCGCTAGTGACTCGTGTTGCCTTGGGAACGATGTTCTGAATGTAAGAGTATTAACTTACCTTGAATGAGTCGGGAAGGTCAAAGCTAGCAGAGATCTGAAGCGGAAGGCACATGTGCTGTCTCTACATGATGCTGTTAGATTACAGGATAACTGTGCAGGGCTCGACATTCAGCTATGACAGACTTGTGAATTCATACAGCCAAGCAGGCCCCAAATAGTGTTCTGGAAGCTGACATGTTGAGATGAGCCCCAACTACGGGTATCAAAGAGACCAAGTCTCTGGGCACCACTTTCTCTTTGTTTTGTTTTGATTAAGACAGGGTCTCACTATGTAGTAGCCCTAGCTGGCCTAGAACTCACTATGTAGCCCTAGCTGGCCTAGAACTCACTATGTAGACCAAGCTGGCCTAGAACTCACCATGTAACCCTAGTTGGCCTAGAAGATTCAGATCATTCAGGCAGCCCCCTCCTCCTGACCTGGGAGGTTAAAGGTGTGCTCCATCGTGCCTGGCAACCAGATACCTCAAGGTATAGAATGTTCTGGAACTAGGATGGCCAGCCATGCCCAAGACTAATCAGACATGGTATGCAAGATGTTTGTTACTAACACTAAGAAACTTCTGGCAAACCAGGAGACACTGGTCACAAAACCTGGACCAGGCTTTTGCCATTCCATTCCACACTGGACATGCCTTGAAATGAACGTGGCAGGGGTCAAGGTCACACCCCGGTCATAGGGGTGTGGGTGCTGGTACTTCACTGTGGGCAGTAAAGGTTTCAACCTGCTGAGTGTGGCCCAAACAGGGGAATGACACAATACTTTAAGACAAGCTTGTCAGGATGTGCCAGCCCAGGACCTGGTGGCCCTTATGCCCAGAACAAAGAGGAAACCCAGCTCTCTACGGCATGCAGTCATGTTCAAGAGAAAAGGTACAGGCACACTTGCCTTTGGTTCCAACATGTTGGGCATGGACACGCCTCGGTCCATTCTCATTGCCGGCATGTGGCCATCTGGGAGGGTCTGCAACAGAAATGCTTGCTCAGTGGTGAGCATAGACTCTCAGCGGAAGCCTGCGGAGGGCTGTGAGTGCTCCCTGACTTTCCTGTTGGGTCTCAGATCCTCCATCATGTATTAACTACTGTGTACTTCTCGAAGTGAGATCCTTACACAGTAAGAGGGACGACACGTGATCAAGTTGGAGCAAGATCATGGATTACTATTTCCTGATTTAGGCTGCATGGGTAGAGGGCTACATACATAAAAAGACGTAAAGTCTGTTCCATTGTTCTCTCTCTCTCTCTCTCTCTCTCTCTCTCTCTCTCTCTCGATCTCTCTCTCTTTCTCTCTCTCTCTCTCTCTCTCCCTCTCTCTCTCTAGCCAAGGCCGGTCTTTAATTCTATAGAGCCTTCCACCTCAAATGTACCGAGATTCCAGGACAGGACACCACACCCTCTGTCTTTCATTCTTTATCTTAGTCTGGGCTTTTTCTCCTGCTCAGTCTCCTTTCCAGTCTTACAAGATGAAAAGGAAGGGTTTGGGAGCAAACTGTTCTTTCCCAGGCGCTGAGAGTTCTGTTTCCTTTCACTTGGGGACAACCAAGAAAAAGTCACCTGCGTCCATGCTGATGAGGTCACTCCCTCTACCCCGGACAGACTCACGCCAGTTAGAGGAGAGGTTCCCTTCACACACGGCCCGGCTCATGCCCTACCCGAGAGGTGTACAGTGACAGCTTGACCTGGCTGCCAGGCACGCCTGCTCCTCCCAGCTATGAAGTAGCAGACAATCAACCACCATATTCATCCTCCCAACAGAAACTGTTCCCCCTGAAGCAGCAGCACGGACTGGAGAACCATTCTGTCTGTCTGGTGTGGCCAACTCAAGGGAGACAAAGCCGTCCGTACCTGGTAGTCTGAAAGGAGGAGGAAAACCATTAGGAGAAGACCATGCCAAAACCACGGAGTCACCAACAGCAGCACTGGATTTTACCACAGCTTCCAAAACATCCTCTAAACAAACTGTGCTCTTCCCTTGCTCCTGCTCAGTCCACACGAGGGGCCACTGGTTTCCCTGAAGCCAGGAAACGCCTGCTTCAAGGTCAGGCATCATTCAGGCACCTTCCTCTCTCTGTATTGTCACCGCTTGCCCTTTGGGGGCAGCGGCCACACTTAACTCGGTGCCAACCCTCCTTCCTGAGGGTGCTCAGCATGGAGGAAGGCAGTGACGATACTGCTTTCCACGTTTGTATTTATCCAGAGCAGTGGTTCTCAACCTTCCTAATGCTGTGGCCCTTTAATAACATCCCTCGTGTTGTGATCACCCAACCGTAAAATTACTTTCATCGCTACTTCGTAGCTGTAATTTTCCTACTGTTACGAATGTGCGTATCTGTGTTTTCCAATGGTATTAGGTGACCCCTGGGAAAGCGTCTTTTGACCTCAAAGGGTTGCGACCCACAAGGTGAGAACCCCTGGTCTAGAGACTCTCTTGATGTTTTTGTGTTTGCTATTAACTCAGAGAAGACAGCCGTGGTCCTACTGTGGGATACGCAGAGCGTCAGCACAGCCTCTCTCAAACCAGGGTCACGAGAAAAGATACTGTCATAGTTGGCGCCCTTTGGAGCCTCACCTCGAACTCCGCTGCTGACGTCTCCATAGCTGTTGTACTGGGCAAAGTCTGTGGAAACCGGCTGCAATGAGGAAAACATCGTCAAGGGAAAATCTCCAGTGGTCACTTTAGATTTTGGGATTTTGGGGAGAACAGACTTATGAGACCCTAAGAATCCAGCCCAGGCTAAAATCCTGGATGGTCATTATTTATGTGATTTTATTATTCATTTATGAAATTGCAGTGTTTTACAGGCATCTGTGGTGCTGTCCAGCAGGCTCTTATAGAGCAAGCAGTTCTTATTCATAGATACAAATCATTTCTAAAGGCACCTTTAATCCCAGCACTCAGGAAGCAGAGGCAGGTGGATCTTTGTGAGTTCAAAACCAGCCGTATCTACACAGTGAGTTCCAGGATATAGAGAGGCCCTGCCCCATCCACATGATATATTTCTAGAAATTACAACTAGTAATTGCACAATTGTAAATTCTAGGCTTGGTGAGGGAGATGCTTGTCACCAACTCTCTTTATAGAAATGATGAACCAAGTGATCACACAGGCCATTCAAAGTCAATTTAGCCTCCTTGAAAAAAGAAGTATTTTATTTTGTTTATAACTCAAAGTGATTTCCCAAGTAGGTGGCAGGCTGCCTTGTGTCTTCCAGGGGCTACAAGGTATTTGGTGTGTAGAGGCAGCTGCCCATGCCGGATGGCCCGAGTTCAACCTGGGGGACCCACATGGTGGAAGTGGAGGGCTGATTCCCAAAAGTTTCCTTCTGACCTCTGTACATGCACCATCATGTATCACACACACACACACACACACACACACACACACACACAGGCCAATTGACATGCATACACAATAATAATACACAAAGAAAGGGGTTAGACTGTTTCGATGATGTGTCTGTACAGACTGACGGAGGGAGACACACAGACACACAGACACCGTTAACTGAAGGAAGTCGTTCTTACCCTGTGAAGGCCATTCTTGCCATAACCAGGGAGAGATGATGTTTTCGATGATGGAGCATGTGTAGCTAGGTGAGGAAAAAAGGTAAGAATTTTCTAGTGCTCCAGTGAGACTTCCAGTGATCTTGTACATTTAAAGGACTTAGGAAAAAGGATTCACATGATACTGGGTCCCGGTGTTGACAACACACCGCCTTCTGGAGGAACGTGCACAAGTAGACATGTGCTCGTCTTGAGGGGAGCCAGGAGAAGGAGGGACACGCAGCCGAGGTGGAGCTCAAGCTGGCAGTACCCCGGCGGTTCCCCGCCACAGGCAGGCACCAAGTGCACCTCTTACTTTGAGCCCTTCATCCTAAGAGGACCATTATTCCGTGTCACGGGAGACATAAAAATAGGGGCTGAGGAAGTATAGAGAGCAAGGACTCGAGCCTAAGATACGGGGTGCGGTACGGGAGGGCAGCAGTAAGTTAACCAGAATCCAAGGGTGTAAGATGCCAAGACGATCCAGCCGACCACAGGTGGCCCCTGGGATGGCCCGACAGGCATCCTGGCCACGGAAGGAGCAGATCGTCTAAAGGTCAACACCCCTGCATCTCTGGAGGCAAGTCTTTTTGAAACTGTTTATTGACCTATGCAGTTGGAGCATTACGTACTCACACAGGCCAGAATCTCACACTCGGATAGGAACTCAGGAGGTTAGAAGACCACAATCCTGTCTCCTGGGTAACAGGCGGCTCCACCCACCCTTAGATCACAAAAAGCAGGGTCTGCCCCTAACCTGAGTGCAGCGGAGAGTCGTAGCGACTAGCCAGCAGGGATGCCCTTTCTCGGGTCTCCTTTTCCATCTCCTCCTTCAGGATCAACTGCCCCAGGCCTGAGTTGAGCTATCCACGGAAAGAAGAAAAGGAAACACGATGCAGTTGATGTCATCAATGATGGCTTCTCCTGCTCGCGGAGCCTGTTCTTCCTTAAGAGCTGGGATGGGGTTTCGCTTTTCCAGTGGCAAACCTTCTCTTCCCCAAGCCAGGCTCCACGTCACAGGTCACCTTCCTTCTTATGCCCCTCCCCCCAAAGGGCTCAGCATGTGAGCACATCTGATAGATTTTATATAGGAGGGAGAGATTGTGGCTTGGGGATTCTTTAACAAGAAATCGCAGTGTTTGCCTTAAAAAACGTTAAAAGGGGAATATATGCTCACACATATTTAAAAGAAATCCAGAAGGAAACAAACTGTAACCCCACCCCCCCACACACAAGGAGTCCCCACCACCCCCTGCATTCTGATTTATACCCATCTCTCACTGTTCTATACACATTTCACACACACGCACACACACACACACACACACACACACACACACACACACACACATCGGTGCTGCTCTTTGGGACCTTTCTCCTGTGCATTCAACGCCGTGTGCATTTCTTACATCTTTGGAGAGCACCATTTTAAAGGCTCTCTTAGCCCCCTGTTGGTCAGAGTTTAGAATTCACTAGCCCTCTGAGGTGCCAAAGGTCCTAGCAAGAACACATAAAAGGAATGGGAAGCGAGGAGGGGACTTGGCGGCAGACTATTTGGTACCCTTTATCATCCCAGACATATACTCTGTCCCAAGGGAAGATTTGGACCAATATGTGATCCCAAGGAACTCCCTCTAGCAAGACCTGCATGACCCTAGGTACGGTCCACCATGGTCTGCAAGAACACTCGATCCACACCCTTGCAGCTGGTCCACCTGCTCACCCACCTCACAGCCATGTGCTCCCTGCATTCTGTGACCCCCAATCCTCCAGCTTCACTGTTGACACCTCGACCACCAGATGCCGGCCATGCTTCCCCTACTGGACTGTAAGCCCTTGAGGCCTGGGAGCGCCACCTACTTCCCTTGGTGGTACGCACAGCACATGGTAGTTAATGAGCAAGCAAACACCCGAAGTCAAATGGAATTGAGGGTCGCAGCGAGGACAAACCTTCATCAATTGCTCTTCTTGAAGCTGCCGGCGTCTTAGGAGCTCCTCCTCGTCCTCCTCTCTGCCACTAGATCTGCGTCTCAAGTCAGTTCCTGATTCCATAGTAAAGACAACTTCTTACACCAGCCCCATGTTAAAGGAGTCTCAGCGGTCTAGTCCATCTGGCTGTCTATCGGGTTGGAAAGGCGGCGGGACAGCAGGCTTCCACACGGTGAACGGCACAACACCATGGACGAAAATGCCCATCACCGGCTTAGCCCCGGGGGCTGGCTTCTCGAGGCTTGTCTGATGTGCTAGTTTGGTGTGTAGTGCAGCTAAGGTAGTGCTCTCTCGGCACTTGTCCGTTAACTAGACCTGGCTTGTTGCCAGGTCTAGTTCTCTGTGCTTCCTCTGCTTGTGAGCCTAGCCTTTAACGGCTGGGCCATCTCTCCAGCCCTGGGGTGCTCCATTTAAAGGCGAGGTCTGTAATTTCCCTTTCCTCACACAGTGAAAATCGGTCACCAAAGAATTTGCTAATGATAGGTAAATAAAACCAGGGTTAACACAGCTCCATGCAGCTGATACATCATCACTTCTACGTCTCTAGGAGGAGTCTGTCTGAGTTTAGATTTACCTGGCCGAGGAAACATTTCCTAGTCTAGTAAAATCTACCAGTATTTGTACTTTTCATAATTTTGATAATGAAGCAGGCATTTCCCTCACTTTAGGATTCTAGGCAACTCTACAGACTATTTAGTGATGGCGACGTCAACCGTGACGTTCCCTCTCTCTGAACTTAGGTCCCTACTGAACAACTTAGCTGAGGTAGAACCCTAAGAGACCCAGAGTTTCCTGATGGGTAGAAATAACAGCAGCTCCATTCTTAGGCTTAGGAAGCCAATGTGGAGTTTCTCTTTAGTTTATACCAATAAAAACCGAGAGACCGATGTTTGCAATAATTAGGTACATCCCACCATACTAATTATAGAAGATTTGTAGATAATGAGGATAAATTTCTCTTCAACTATTTCTATAAACACTAGTTACTTTAAAATGAAGTTCTATTGCCTATATAAGTTATTAAAGGCAACCCAACCTCATGAGGAAGATTGAGGATTTTTAGAACACTGAAGGCTTTTTGGGTTGTCAACAGAAATGAGGCTAGTTATACCTTCGTAAGACTGATCTGATTTTCAGTTTTAGCTACTGGGCTTGGTAACCCATCTCTACAGGCTTGAGTGATTTCGCTAGAGACAAAAACGGTAAAGACACAGACACAACTGGAAAGCAGAAAGTAAAGAATGGCAATGTTCCAACGTGACATTGGAGCGCGGGGTCATGGAACGACAGGTGTAGAGTCACACACAGGTTACACTCCAGAATGCGGACCTGTTACAGCCCTTCTTAGCAGTGGGGAGGGTGGCCTCGGCAGAGCAGGGAGAGGGCTCCAGTGTTAAGGCTGCCTGTTAACAGTGAGGAAGACAATGCAGACGCGGTCTAAAACCAACGTAGCCAGGAAAGTTGCGTTTTGGTGGATGCCCGCAACTTCACCCACTCTGCTCTCCGGAATGTGCTCCTGCTAGCAGGCTCTGAGCTAACTGTGCTCGACAGACAGCCGAGCCATCTGTCCATCCATCCAAGCCATGAGTTTTAGGCTGGTTCTGGACTTGGTGCGTTTTGTGCTCAGCCAGGCCAGGAGAGCATTTTGCATGCAAACTAATGTCACTTTCATTCTCTTCACTATTTATCCCTTGGTCTACATACTTTTATCCTTGAATGTCTTTGTGACATTTGTTTGTATGTGCTTGAGCAATAATTCATTGTGCACTCCGTCTGACTTAGCTGCATCGGTTGCATACCTACGGTGGCAAGTGAGGAGGGACCGGGCCAGTGGTCCGTCTCAATCTTTGGTGTCTCGCTGGGATCTGGCGCCTGGGCTGCTGGGAACTTGGAAAACTTGATGATATCTTCTGAAGCCTTGCTCTGGGCTGCCAAGGCAGCTGCATCTAGGTGGGAACCAGGGTTGCTTAGCTACGGGTCTGTAAAGTAACGCTGGTACCACCCCACAGACATGACTCTCCACTCTTCACAGCACGTTTCAAGGCTAGGACCCTGAATACTTCGGCCACCATAGAACTACCCACTCTTTCATTTTTAAACATTCTTGGAATTAGAAGCTTTGTTAAGTAGAAATTTGAGTTCCAAATTTGAAATTAAAGAGCTGAGTGGTAAGCAGGGGAAAACCACATTTGTCTGTAGTTGTTAATGTTTAGGGAGGGGGGCTGGCTTTGTATTTGGGGGCCAGAGGTCACAGATATGCTAATCCAGTTCACTAGCCCTTTACATACTTTATCTGGGTCTCAGAATCTCCGGAGACTCACTGCTGTTCTCGGGTCTGGTCAAACAAGTGAGCCGGCCAACTTGAAAATAAGAGTGGCCCAGGAAAGCAACATTAGTTCCCAGGGTTGGCAATGGCTATTCTTAGTGGAAGACTCGATGGCTTCAGGCCCCAAATCCAGTCACAGAATCGGAGCCAAACAAGCCAGGTCAAGCAGCCAGCCCCTAATTCCAGCTGACTTGCAAAACTTGCCTATTTATAAGGCTGAAGTTAAAATATTTTTCTTTGGGGCTCACACTTTAAAATCTGGAGGCAATGTTTTGAATATTGCAATCGCTCCTGTGACTTGACCAAGATTACCCAATAATAAAGGCTAGAGTCTTGGCTGGACTGGACGGGAAGTGGTGTGTCTCAGAATCATTAACTTAATGGAAAGGGAAATCTTGGCTTAGGAAACACTCTGTCCTCTCTGGAAGGCTTGGAGTGTCAGCCCAAGGCTGGACTGCTATGTAAAACAGAAGAAAAGAGACTTTTTTCTTCTGGCAAATGTTCTGGGACACAGGTATCAGTGTGGAACATGACATTTATTTCTTTGGCATGGAGCAGCCTTGTGTGAACCTGCCTTGGAAAGTGTTCCTCTGGTTGTGCTGTCCATCAATTACAACCGGGTGGAAACAAAGAGTCCTGTCAAACGTTATCACGGAAAGGACCAGCCATTCCTTCCACAGGAAGCCGAACACCAGCCAACCTCCCTGGCTCTTGTCTGACTGTTGTTTAATTTAGGGGGACAGGGACCAGAGACTCTAATATTTGCTGCTATCTCTAAGCGGCTAAGTCTAACTGTGGGTGTTTTATTGTTAAAGGAAAACAAAACAAAAAAGCATGACTTCCAACAGTACTTACGCATTAGAATTGGTGAAGTCAGTAGTTAAACATTCACATGTTAATGAGTGTGTGGGAAGACATTAAACCATAAAAAAAAACAAAAACAAAAACAATGTTAATAAACTTAAAATGTAAGCATGGTATGAAAAACCTTGAAATAAAACAGAAAAGGGAAACCAAACAATACACGCCTTTTTCCCTCCCTAGAAGGCTGACCTGGAAGTTTGTCCTTACGCATTTTCAGTTGAGATTTGAATTCTTCCTCATTCCTGACCAGATTCTACAGCCTTCAAATCTCCAAACACAACTAATGTGTAATTTTTAGGACTTACTGGAAAGCTAGCTTGGGCATCTATCTAAGTCACAGATTCGTGGCAAATGGATCCAGAGAGGCTTGATATGGTGGGGGTGGGGGGAAGGGAGAAGAAATTCACAGAAAATACTGTGTTTTTCTTTTTTTTTTTTGATTTAAAAGACTTATATTCCCAGAAAATGAAAACACAATAATAAATCCACCTAGGTGATTCCTCGCTTCGCTCCTAGGACTGTAAGAGACATACTCATCTAAATTATTTGTCCTTACAGGTGAAAACACTGAGGATGTATGCCCACAAACCACACAGTTGCATCAGCAGTATGGGATGGGTCCTCTACCTGCTTCAGCTTATGCTTTATTAGGGGGCTCGTGCCCTGTAGCAATTGTCATAGGTGGTTCATATTTACTAGATTTAATTATTTGAACTAGTTGCAAGCTCCTCAAATTTACTTAAAAGTTGGTTAGGTCATTCAATGGCTAAAGCAAGGTTATTAGGCTGTTTTGGGCTATTTGCTGTTGTGCAAACACAATTCCCCTTTCTATGGGCAGAAACGGGTAGCAGCTTCCTCACTGAGCTAAGTGCTCTCTACCTGGCACATGGGTTTCAAGTCACATCTGTATCCTGTCAGACTACAAGGGCATACATAATAGCAGTTAGAGTCATCCTAAACTGCACGGGGAAAGCCTTTGGAAGAGCGTGGAGGAGCCCAGCTGACCCCACCCCCTCAGAGCTGAGGAAAAGCGAGTGTTACCATGCTGCTTGTAGATGGGAGGTTTTCGGTAAATGTTGATCCCTTGATCTGTGGAAATGAAAAGCAGAGACGTGTGATTATGGGAGCTAGCTCAGAAATGGAGAAAAAGAAAACAAAACCATAGGGCCCAACCAAAGGGTGACGAACCCAGAGGGCTAACCTTCGTATTACAAAGACTGAGCACACTGGGAGAGACGACTACAGAAATGAACCAACTCTACACACACGAGACGTGGGGGCCTTTGTAATACCTCAGCACACAGCGAGATGCCTCTCACTTACCAGCCATTTATTTCACACACGGACACCACTGAAACCAGAATCAAGACATGAAGTGATACACACAGTGGGCACCTGGGGAATAACAATCCCCAAATCCCTACTGTCTAGAAATTGAGCTGCCAGGGGTCACCCGTGGCTCAATTTATGACTTCAGTGAATGACAGGGACAATGGACAGTGATGGTGGGAAGCTCAGAATACACAAAGCAACACTTGGGATGATCAACAAAGTCCTAATCTGGGCAAGCCAAATTTGTGTTAAGAAGCAAGAAAAGAAAAAAAAAAAAAATAAGGAGGTGTAGAACACGACCTATGTGTCTGTGGAGACTCTGATAACACCACTTCACTCTGACTAAAAGTGACCCCATGTTTCCCAAGTTCTCTGTCCCCCATTGTCTTAGGTACTGTACCTTGGAGGGGAATTCTTCATATAAAAAACCCCAAAGGGACATAAAAATGAACAGAGATTCCAGACAGGCAGAGTTATAGGAATCTATAGGGTAATTTATGAAACTCCTGGTGGCCTCAGATGGCAGGTCGCTCTCACGGACTGAGCTGACCCTGAATGTCAGGATAGTGACAGGCCCTGGGCTTTCCCAGTTTTTGATTTGTTTTGGTTTTTGAGACAGGGTTTCTCTGTGTATCCCTGGCTCTCCTGGGACTAGCTCTATAGACCAGGCTGGCTTTGAACTCACAGAGATCCTCCTGCCTCTGCCTCCCAAGTGCTGGGACTAAAGGTGTGCGCCACCGTGCCCAGCTGGTTTTCCCCTTTCTGATGGCAAGTTTATTATTTGAGCTGTGGCAGTTAGCACAGTGAGTACTAGGGCAAAGCTTGCAGTGCGAAGCCTAAATTGCAAGATACTTTGGTAGGCTGTGCAGGCGACCTGCTCACTACCTGTTACAGACACAGCAGCCAGCTGACCCAGTATCGCAACTCTGAAGGTATTCTCCAGGGACACTGTGGTTTAGACGGCTCCTAAGATAATTCATTAATGCCAGTGAACCACAGCCTGACCGAAGGAAAAAACCTAACTCTTCTTGCTGCCTCCCACTCCCTTTACAATCTCTGAAGGCCATCTGAGGGC